AAACTTCCAAAGGATCTACTTCAGGTGAAGGAAAGTGATCTTAAAGAAAGGTCGAGATGCCGGAAGGAATGGATTTTTACTTTATTTTACTATTTTATTATTTTATTTTATTTTATTTATTTGAGATAGGGTCTCACTCTTTCACTCAGGCTGGAATGCAGTGGGGAGATCTCGGCTCATTGAAGCCACAACCTCTGGGCTCAAGCAATCCTCCCACCATAGCCTCCCAAGGAGCTGGGACCACAAGCACACGCCACCACATTCAGCTAACTTTTTTAGAGAATGGTTTTTGCCACGATGCCCAGGCTGGTCTCAAACTCCTAAGACTCAAGTGATTGGCCTGCCTCAGCCCCACAAAGTGCTGGGATTACAGGTGTGAACCACTGCACCCGGCTAGGAATGGGTTTTTAAATTTAATTTAATTTTATTTTGGGACAGAGTCTCGCTCTGTCACCCAGGCTGGAGTGCAGTGGCACGATCTCAGCTCACTGCAAGCTCCGCCTCCCGGGTTCACGCCATTCTCCTGCCTCAGCCTCCCGAGTAGCTGGGACTACAGGCGCCCGCCACCGCGTCCGGCTAGCTTTTTGTATTTTTTTAGTAGAGACGGGGTTTCACCGTGTTAGCCAGGATGGTCTCGATCTCCTGACTTCGTGATCTACCCACCTCGGCCTCCCAAAGTCTGGGATTACTGGCCCGGCCTTTTTTATTTATTTACATTTATTTATTTTTTTATTTAAGATGGAGTTTCGCTCTTGTTGCCCAGGCTGGAGTGCAATGGTGCGATCTCGGCTCACTGCAACCTTCACCTCATGGGTTCAAGCGGTTGTCCTTTCTCAGCGTCCCGAGTAACTGGGACTACCACCTGCCACCACGCCTGGCTCATTTTTGTATTTTTAGTAGAGACAGGGTTTCACCATCTTGGCCAGGATGGTCTCAAACCTCTGACCTCATGATCCACCCGCCTCAGTCTCCCAAAGTGCTGGGATTACAGGCGTAACCCACCGCACACAGCTAGGAATGGATTTTAAAAGTGCAATCTGACAATGTCAGTATTCCAAATGTATTTATTCCATTTACATTGTATTTTTTGTATTTAGACTTGTTTCAATCATACTACTTTTTAATTCAGTTTAGTCCACTTTTCTGAGCTTTAAAAAAAAAAAAAAATTATTACCCTGCCTTTTTCTTGGGGGACAAGAGGATGGTTGATATTTTTGCTTATTTGCATTTTCTAATTTTTCCCTCTTTACTGGCTTGGAATTTACATACTCTGTTTCTGTTCTTAAATCTTACGAGGTATATTTAATTTTATAGCGCCTGTTTCTCTACTTTACAACTGCTTCAATTCACCCTTCAACTCGCTATAATCTGGTTTCTGGCCCTACCATTCCAACTGAAGTTTACCGTTTCCAAATGCTAAATTCAGTAGTCCTTTTACCAATCCTTATCTCTCTAGATTTTCCTGCTGATTTGATGTTTGTGATCATCCCTTTTCCTAGATAGTATAGTTCCTAGGGTTCCTTGACATTGTACTTTCCTAGAGTTTTGTTTTGCATAACTTTCTGACTATTCCTCCTCATCCCCATTCCACCTTCTCTCCTTCTTGGGCCTTTCCTCCTTAACTTCTATTAAAAATAAGTATTTCCCCACAAATTGTCCCAGCCCACTGCTGTTATTTTACAAACCCACCTTATGTGATTCCCATCCATCTCCTATGGTATCAGTTACCACCTCCATGGGCTAACTCACAAATTAATTTCTCCAGCCTGACCTCTTCCTTGAACTTCAGACTCTTAAATCCAATTTAAATCCAGGTCAGCCAGACCTGGATATAACACAGGCAACACAATTTCAACAAGCCTAAAACCAAACTCCTAATTATCTACTTCTTCCTTCCTAGAGAAAAGCCAGCTTCTCTTCCTTCTGTAAATTCTTTTACATAATCTAGAAACATGGGAGATTTGACTGCTTCCTCCCTCTCCATCCCACATCTTATCCAATACTGACACCTTCCAACTCTACCTCCTAAAGCACCTTGTCTAGCCCTCGGGCCACAGTCTGCATGCGGCCCAGGATGGCTTTGAATGAGGCCCAACACAAATTGATAAAACATTATGAGGGCCGGGCTTGGTGGCTCATGCCTGTAATCCTAACACTTTGGGAGGCTGAGGTAGGTGGATTGCCTGAGCTCAGGAGTTCGAGACCAGCCTGGGCAACACAGTGAAACCCTGTCTCTACTAAAATACAAAAGAAATTAGCCGGGTGTGGCGGCATGCGCCTGTAGTCCCAGCTACTCGGGAGGCTGAGGCAGGAGAATTGCTGGAATCTGGGAGGCAGAGGTTGCAGTGAGCCGAGAGTCAGCTGGGGCGACAGAGTGAGACTCCATCTCTACAAAACAAACAAACAAAACAACAACAACAAAAAATTATGTTTTTTTTTTTCTTAGCTCATCAGATATCACATTTTATCAGTATTTTACATGTGGCCCAAGACAATTCTTCCAATGTGACCCAGGGAACCAAAAGATAGGACACTCCTGTCCTAAAGTATTCTTCTGGTTGCTTTTCCCCAAATAGTATTCTATGGTTATTAGATATACCAGAGAAATTGACTCCATGGTAAAATAAGTATTGGTAAGTGCTAGAAAACTACGAAAAAAGTCTACTACAGGACTTTTCAAAGAGATTACTTTGTAGATACTATATTCTAGATATGAAGTGATATAACCTAGTCTTTTCCAAGACAAATAAAACGCTTATTTTATTTAGCATTTCTGTGGAACACCTTTTAGCATCTCACATGCCTCATGATCAATCATTAACTGCTACTCTAAGCCCCTCCATTCTCCCCTACCCCCACCACCACAGCCCTAGGTCAGCTCTTGCCATTTCTGGTTCCCTACCTCTGGTCTTGTTTCCTCAAATGTGCTGTTCACAGTGATGCAAGAGTGAGCTATCTAAGACTCAAATCTACCAAGTCTCTCCACCACTTACACTTTGGGCTAAGCTCCTTCATAGGGTGTGGAAAGGCCCCCCAACCTAGTCCAGCTCCACCTCTCCCACAGCGCACCACACTCACATCATACCCTAGAAATACGTTTGTACCTCTCAAAATGTTCCATGCTCTTGTAGGTTTCTATATCCTTATTCACATGACACTATTTGTCTGGAATATTCTTCTCCACACCAATTCACTGGTTAACTGCTACTTCTCCCTTTAAGACTCAGCTCAAGTGCCACTCTCTTCAGGAAGGTTTCCTGAATGGGCTAAGTCCCCCCTCACCTCAGCTCCCATTATCCACCTGTATAGGAAATTACAGGCCGGACACAGTGGCTCATGCCTGTAATCCCAGCACTATGGGAGGACAATGTGGGAGGATCACAGGAACTCGCCTGGGCAACATAGGGAGACCTTGTCGCTACAAAAAAAATAAAATAAAATTAGCCCAGTGTGGTGGTGCACACCTTTGGCCCCAGCTACTTGGGGAGGCTGAAGTTGGGAGGATTGTGTAAGCCCAGGAGGTCAAGGCTGCAGTGAGCCATGATCACACCACTGCACTCTAGCTTGGGTGACAGAGCGAGACTCTGTCTCAGAAACAAAAACGGAAAAAAGAAATTATAAATTTGCTGCCCCATGAGACCAAGAGCTTCTTAACCAGAAACTATCTCAGATTCATCTTATTCATCCTTCTCAACCTCTAAACGCTGATGGGTTCCCAGACTCAGTTCTCTTCTATTTTCTCAAGTGACTTCAACCACTCTCATGGCTTTACATAACACCCGTATCCTCACGACTCCCAAACTAACGCCCCCAAACTATTTCCAACTCTTTCCAGATCTCTACGGACTGGCTGCGTATTCAGGTCTCAGTCCAAATGTAACCTTCTCGTGACCACTCCATCCAAATGGCCCCATACCCACTCTCTCCCCCTGTCTTATACTGTCTGAATTAGATCTATTTGTTTATTATCCATTTCTCCTACCACATTACCCTATGAGATTGGAGAGTTTTTATTCACTGCTTTGTCTCTAGAGCCTAAAACAGTGTTTGGCACATTACTGACACTTATTAAATGTTAGTCAAATGAGCTACTGCCTAACACAGATCTGGCATGCAATACCTGCTAATACCTGAGTGCTTACTAAGTGCCCAATAGTGTGCTAAATATACCACAGGAACTGCTTATTATCCTAACTATTACCATCGTCCCCATTTTACCCGGAGACACAGGAGTTCAGTAGTTTGCTCAGCGTAGGAAGGGATAGGAACACTGGCAGCCTGACCCAGAGCTGACTTTCCTAGTCACTGAGCTGTCCTCCCACTTACATCTGTAAGGACTCAAAGCGTGTACTCAAAGGAAAAAAGGGAGGAAGGGTCCAAAGATCACATCTGTTGAGAGCAGAAAGGGAGTCAAAGGGAGAGAAGGAAACAGACCAAAGACGGTCTTCTTCCTTTTGTGTTTCGTACTGCCCCCAGGAATGAGTGTCCTGTTTCTCATTCCTGACACTGATTTGGAAAGCCCAGTTCCGATAGCTCAGAGAGGGGTGAGTTACCTTTATCAGCTAAAGCTACTGCTCTCTCGGCAGAGAGGAATTTCAACTCACTACTTAATTGCCATGGCATAGGGAAAGAACAAGGGGCTGGAAATCCAGACACTTGCGAGGCTACTGCCGGCTCTGCCCAGGGTTCTCTAGTGGACATCAGCCAACCATGTCCTTTCTCCGTGTCTCAGTTTCTCCATCTGTGGGGGAAAGGCATGCCGCTCTGATGTTCTGACTCTAGCAGGTGCTGATCTTCGGAGTTCCCTCAGTTCACAGCTCTAGACGCCAGTGGAGAGAGGCCCCCTTTCTGACTGCTGGAGCCTGGGCCTCGCCCTTGGGTATGAGAAGTACAGAATTTTCCAAAATACAGTAAGTGAAAGAATTGCCTTTGGAAAACAGAAAACCTGAGTGTAACGCACCCTCCTCCAAGAGTGACGCACAGTAATGGCCAAGCAAACAGTCCTTCCCTGCAATATTTATTAAGGAATTTACACATACACAGGAGAAAGGCAGCCAGGAACTGTAGTTCCCACACATGAAATCTTTTAAGCAAAGTTTTCTTGTCTGAATTTTCAAGTGGGGTGAACAATGACTGAGAGGAAAGCTGTCCCGGCCTCTGCCTCGTACACCTGGGAACGGTGGGGAAACAGAGCACCCGGATACACAGGCATGAAAGAGTCATCAGCAGACTGGGAGAAGGGAAGGGAGAAAGGGAGTTATCAATGACATGGCATTTTTTAAACTGTAAGAAAAACACAACAGTTTTAGGCTGCTGATAAATTAACTCCTCTCTGTTGTAAACCTAAAACTAAACAAAAACAAAAATACCCAGAGCAGATGGGGAGAGGATAGGAGGCGGAACACACATACACACACACACACACATACACACACTCTCACGTGCACACACAAGCAGTACACGTTAAGCTCTGCATTCCCACTCTAGGGGTTTGTCCTCCAGCCACGGAGCCAGATCCTACTGAAGGCAGGTGGGAGGCAGCAAGGGATGTGTGTCCGTGTGTGGGATCTTCATAAAGTCTTTGGTGCTAATAAAGGCTGACTGAAGCAGCAAGTCCTGAAGCCCCAGACCCGGAAAGCAACTCAGGGTGAAGAGAGTAGAATTTTTGCTCATCCTCATAGGAGGGGGCTTGCCTCAACACAGGGCTAGGGTCAAACTGACCCAGGGCCCAGGGAGTATTTAGTTTGATTTCAGTACTTGCTTCATTCCCATAAATCATGAGAACATGATGCTTCCCCTTCAAATTTAAACACTTAGAAACAGCTTATTAACATATATAGAAGGACCTCTACGCTTTCCCGTTTGCCTAATACACAACACCTACAGACCCTTCTGAGAGTCTGACAGGAGCTTTAACCTTGAGGGAAGGTACTCAAAGGTGTGCACGTTTCTCCCACAGTTTAAGTGCCTTCTGCCAACAACTTCTAAGGTGCTGGTGCCAGGAGAGGACTGGGGAGGACGTTGGGATGGCTATGGGGCATGTACAACATAAAGCAACAGAGAGGTCTTCATGTTTGGGAAGTGGCTGGGCAGGATGCCAAACCCCAAATGACTTATTGAGCAATTTCTAAACCAAACAGAGAGGTAGGAAAAGAGGATGGGCGTCAGGGGTGGAGGCTGTGGAAAGGGGAGAGCGAGGGCTGAAGAGAATGGCAGCCATACAGGTGTTTTGTTTTTATTTCCACATCTGAGGACTGAGAGTCTGATTTGCTGCCTGTCCACTTCCGCCGCTCATTGACTGTCCATAGTTCATCATGCCATTGGCTCCATAGAAGTTCATCCCAGCCATCTGCTGGGTCATCTGAAAGGGAGAGAGGAGACTTTCAGACCAGGCCGTGGGCATTCTGCCAATTAGTGCAAAAGGCAGAGTGGGAGTCCCTTTCTCTGCCAGGATGGGGAGAATGAGACAAAGGGAAACTGTTACGGACAGTAAACCCTGGACCTTTGCAGTCAGATCATTTCAAGGCCATGTACATGAACGACTTTTTGGGAGTGCAATGTTGACAGAGACTAAAGCTCAGGGAGGGAAAGAAGGCATCCTGGCATCTGGATCTAGTTGACAGAAAATCAGCATGAGTTCCTCTCTTTTTCCTTTCCAGTCCCTCATCGTAAATAAAAGGGGCCTATTGTTAACTTGCCTGGCCAATCCTAAAAGCTGAAAGGCAAGCCCCCTCCCCAGTGCTCCCGCCTCATCTTCAGCACAGCTATTACTGTCAGCGTCAGGGAAAGCGCTTGAGCAGCCTCTTTCATTTGCAGAAGGGGGAAAAAAGGAACGGGACTGTTCGCAATGAACAAAGGCAGGGGGTAAAAAAGACTAATGTGTCTTCGGTGTATGAGAAGGGAAGGAGCTGGAAGAAAAGTCAGTGGAATAAGGCCTCGGGCAGGATAGGGCGGGGGTCCTTCATGAATTTGATGGAAAGACTGGCCCCCTAGCAGTGAACAGAAAAATACTTTATGGAGAAAAATGCCTTGAATTTCCTGAGCCTAGTACATTTTCTATATAAATTCGTTTTCTTTACCAACTTTCAAAGTAAATTTCAAACTTACATAAAAGTTGAAAGAATAGTACAATAAAACCCATGTATCTTCTTCCTTAAATTCACCAACTGTTAACATTTGCCATATTTTCTCTCCCTCCTTATATAAAAACTTACATTTTTTTGATAAGCATCAAAAGCCGCAGATTTAAAAAAAAAAAAACAAAAAAAACTGCAGCTATCGCAACACTTCACTCCTAAGTCAGGAGGCACTTCATAAGAATGAACACTTTAACAAAACCACAAAACCATGAACACACTCCAGAATTTTAACATTAACACAATATTCTAATGCACATGGCATTTCATTTCCAGATCTCTGTAGTTTCCTTTAATCTAGAACAGTTTCCCTACCACTTCCTCCCATTTCTTTCTGACACTGACATTTTTAAGAACCCAGGACAGTTATTTTGTAGCATATCCCACAATTTGGATTCATCTTCTCATAATTGGATCCAGGTTAAATATTTTTGGCAAGATTCTATGGAGGAGATACGATGTCTTTCTTAGTACAAAATATCAGGAAGCACATGGTATTACTTTGTTCCATTGCCAGTAATTTGATGTTTGATCACTTGGCTAAGGTAGTGGCTATATTTCTTTCATTATAATTAATAAATAATCTGAAGGGCATTTCTTTGCAAATGTGGGAATCCTTTGTTCTTTTTACAATTCCTATCATTCTTCTGTAAAGAAAGTTTTTTCTCCTTCCATTCCACACCTGGTTTTTAAAAAATATCACCATGGACTCATGGGTTTTTTTTTTTTTTCCCATTCAGTATGTCATAATCCATTACTATTGTTACTCTTTTTGATGTTCAAATTGTCTCACATTTGGCCAGTCAGAGCCATTGGAAGTTGGCTCATGTGTCTCTCTGACATATTCCCATCAGACTTACAGCATTCCATTACTTACGTAAATAAAAACGAAACAATGAAAATAAGTAAATTAAAATCTCCACTACGAAAGCTAGAAAATAACAAAGTAAACCCATAGAAAGCATATGGAAAGATACACCAAAAATTGAGGTAGAAAACAGAAAAATGTAGCACCAATAAATCAAAATCCTGGTTCTCTGAAAAAAATTAATGAGACTGCTTGGCGTAACTTTTGATAAATTTGAAAACTTTGGTGAAATGGAAAATCTAGGTAAATACAGTTTTCCAAAATTGACTTCCATAGAAGAAACAGAGAAATGTATCAAAGATTTGCTACAAAGGAAAGCAATAGGGACCACAAACTTCACACAGGAATTCCACAAAACCTTCAAAGACCAGTACTACGTAAATTATTCCGGACCACGGAGAAACAAAAACATAAAAATACTTTTTATAAATAAGTATAACCCCGATAAAGATAGCATATACATGCACATGTGCAGTACACATGCACCATACCACTTCTCTGGTATTACTTTGCCTGTCTCTTGGTTTTCACATTAAATCACTTTGTATTTCTTTGTACCTAGTACAAAACTAGTGTTGCGTTGTGAGCCAATTTGAACATCATTTTCTTTTGATAGACGAGTTGCCTACTGATATGACTGGTATGTTTGGTCTTTATTCCATCATATTATATTTTAACTGTGTTTATTGTATTTGCTGCACTTTGTTGTCTGTTTTTAAAAATTTTCAGTGGGGTACAGTGGCTCATGTCTGTAATGCCAGCACTTTGAGAGGCCAATGCGGGTGGATCGCCTGAGGTCAGGAGTTTGAGACTAGCCTGGCCATCATGGTGAAACCCCGTCTCTACTAAAAAATACAAAAAAATTAGCCAGGTGTGGTGGTGGGTGCCTGTAATCCCAGCTACTTGGGAGGCTGAGGCAGGAGAATCACTTGAACCCGGGAAGTGGAGGTTGCAGTGAGCCGAGATTGTGCCACTGCACTCCAGCCTGGGCGACAGAGTGAGACTCTGTCTCTCAAAAAAAAAAAGAAAAAGAAAAGGGAAGGGGAAGGGAAGGGGAAGGGGAAGGGGAAGGGGAGGGGGAAGGGAAGGGAAAATTATCTTGGTATTCAGAACATCCCACATGTTTGTTTTAGTGATTACCTTTATACTAATACTTTTTAGCGATGTCCTTGGTCTGCTTTTTCCTTATTCAAGCTTCCATGTTTTGGTTTGTCAGCTTATTACATCCTTTGACTTCTACTTATTTCCCATACAATATTTACTATTCAACTTTTCTCCCTTCTCCTTCCATTATTTTTAGTTGTACCTGTTTGTCAGAATATAATGTATATTCTGGTCACTACCTTTGTTTTAGTCTTAGATTCTCAATTAAACATTCAATTCTCACCATCAGTTCTTTTGACAAAAATGAAAATGACCCCAGTCACCTCTTAGGGGGATGAAGTTTATCTTCTGTTAGATTCCCCAGGAGAGTCTTGTAAGTGTGATATTCCCTGAGTTCTTGCATATTTATTTTTTACAGCCTTGATACCTGAAGGCTAGCTTGGCTGGCTTGGCTGGCTTGGCTGTAAAATGCTTGTCTTGTCTTGCATATACTTGAGCGTCTTTAAAATACTGCTCTCCCTGTTGTTCTTTTTGTATTTTGCTATTAGGAAGTCTGATGTCAACCTGGGTATTTTTTGTTTGTTGTGACAGATTTTTGTGAGAAGGAGGTATGGAAAAGGTTGGAGCCCTAAACAATTTTTTTTTTTTTTTTTAGATGGAGTCTCGCTCTGTCGCCCAGGCTGAAGTGTGGCGCAATCTTGGCTCATTGCAAGCTCCGCCTCCCGGGTTCACACCATTCTCCTGCCTCAACCTCCCGAGCAGCTGGGTCTACAGGCACCCGCCACCACACCTGGCTAATTTTTTTGTATTTTTAGTAGCGACAGGGTTTCGCCGTGTTAGCCAGGATGGTCTCGATCTCCTGACCTTGTGATCCGCCTGCCTTGGCCTCCCAAAGTGTTGGGATTACAAGTGTAAGCCACCGTGCCCAGCCACCCTAAACATTTTTAATGTTCTTTAAAGTCTGTAGGTTTACCGGGATATATTTTAGAGTTTACTGTTCTGGGTCAATTTTCCCTGATACACAATGGGCTCTTCCCCTATTATATCCAAGTCTTTTATTACTAGAAAGTTTTCTGGTGTTGTAGTTTTAAATACATTAATTCTGTCCCATATTTTATTTATTTTGTCTTTATTTCTTTGGGCATCTCCAAATATATTTATGTTAGGTTTTCTTTGCCTAACTTCTATATTAATTTCCATCTGATTCTTCTTACTCCTTTCTATGTTTAGTTTTTATTCTCTTAGCTGTTTCATGCCTTTCCTCAATGCCAAATATATTTTCAGTTCAATCTATTGTTCTTTGGCTAACTTGTAACTCAGTCTTTATAAGAACATTTTGGCTTTTTCTTCAATTTCTTTTCTGAGTTCAGTAAACTTTCATTTCACAACATTCAGTTTTTTATCCATTTTGGCTTTAAGTTTTTGAATTTCTGATTTAAGGTGTTTTGTCTTATCTGCAAATGTTTGTTTAAGGACATTTAATTCAGGTTGATAAATAGTGTAATGATTTTCTTCTGCTTCATGACTGTTTTTTGAGGGAGAATATTCATTACGTGAAATGTTTTGATTTTCATTTTCTATTTTCTTCTTGTAGTAGTTTTGCACAAATGTCAGCTGCCATGTTTGGTTTATTGTGTAAGGTCTTATTTTTTTTCTCAATCAGCAATAATAGGTGTGAGGGTTTGGGGAGGCTTACTAAATTTCTTAGATTAAAAGCACCATCTTTTATTAGTGAAGTGGTTATTTTGGAAGAGGGAGGAAGGTGTATATTTGATTTTGTGGTTCTCATTTCCATTTCTCGTGTCTTTCTTTCCTTTCACCACCAGTCCTCCAAAGGGTACCTCCTCCTTTTAGGCCATGCCCATCTCCCCGAGAAGCAATGCTTTCCCAAGGTTACTACCTATACTCCTATATATCTCAAGTCTCCTATTTTTGATCCTCCAAGTAAACAGAGTTCTAATCTGCCACATCTCAGACCTGTTCTCAGGATGTCTTTGATGAGGGTAGGTCCTTCTCCTTCTGGGGAGTTACTTTATCTGTGGTATTACTGCTAGGCCCCTGCTCCATCTTCTGTTTTTACAGCCTCCTCTGTGATGCTGGCTCTGCTAGATTTGGTGTTTATATGCCCATTGCCATGCCATTTGAACCTTGTCTACCAAATGAGATTGTTGTGAGAATATCTGCATTCATTGTTTGTATAGGGTTTTTTTGTGTGTTTGTTTTTGCTTTTGAGAATGTGTGGAGAGATTCAGATTTAGGCAGTTGCGCTTATTCTACAGGAATTCTACAGAACTGAGGAGTTCTTCCTCAGAAAGGATGACTTTAGACAGACCTTCTAGGGGGAAAAAAAAGCAAACCTAACAATGTCTCTGGCATTATCTCATTTACATGGAAAGGACTCAAAGGATAGTGGAGAGGTACAAAGTGAAACAAACTTGAGGAAGGCTCAAAACTCTTGCTGCAAGTAAAATGGGATAGCTTACCTGAGTAAGGTTCCACTGCAGCTGCTGAGCTGGCTGGACCCCATACACAGTCTGGGGCATAGCTGCCATGCCTGCCATGTAGCCAGCCTGCTGGGTGGTCATCATTCCATTCGGCACACCCATCATTGATGCCTGCATGCCACCCATATAGCCTGCAGGCATGGCCATGGGGGCAACCATCCCAGAAGCTCCTGGCTGAGCTACCATGCCTACTGGTGGAGGCATCATGCTCCCCATTATGCTGTTAGGAGGTGTAACCCCGGGGAAGCTGGGGTAGGCTGTGGGATATGCCATCTGAGCGGGAGCCATGAACATTGCTGTCAAGACAACACACATACAGGTCTGTTAAAGAGTGAAAAACATAGTCAGCCCAAACTCTCCCTGGCTACCCCTTTCCAGCTGGAATTTCTCAGGATTACTCTACTCACAATGCTCTTTACACAGCAAAGTAGTCAGAGTCTCTACAAGGCCTGCTATGGCTTACCAATGGGCTGCTGACTGAGTCATTTTCCCTTTAGGGTCCAGATCCAGACCTTGAGTTAGACTTCACCGAAGTGTGACCCCAGACTCCACAGAAGTATGACTCTGAGTTACATTAATTTCTATCTGCTGATACTTTGGTCATGTTCAGGTTTGTTTGCTGTATGACATCCTGGTCCCCAAAGTATCTATCCTCTGTCACAGTAAATAATTCCTGCATGGAAGCCCTCATGTCTCTATCTGGCACATGGCCATGATACCCAGGAAGTCTACCTTGAGTAGGCATTTGAGGCGTCTGGGATCCATATAGTGAAAGAATGGAGTCTTTAGAGAGCTGTTTCTTGCCTATTTCTTCTGATTTGCTCCCTGGCTCCGGAAACAGGTTCAGGTTTTCAGGAACAGAGCCAGCACTCCCTGCAGTTGGCATGGAACCTACAACCTTAGGGCAAAGAGGGCAGGGGAAGAATTGAAATGGTTCTCATGGGGGTCTCCTTAAGGATCTCCCTTCCCTCTCTGCTGTTCCTAACATCTGCAATAAGAATTCATGGTTCAAGTTAATAGCTTCCTGACATTTTTACCATTGAAATATCTGAAAACACCTGATAATTAAGCTCTGTTACAATTCTTTCCTTTCACCAAAACATGTGATTTGGTAGGAACAAACAAACAAAACAACCCACAAATGACGCAGCAGGGGGAATTGAGTTTAGATCCCAGTGTAGCCATTTACTAGTATAACCAGAGGTTAGTGACATAACTTTTATGAACTAATGTTTCCACACCTGTAAAATTCCCACTTTGCAGGTTTGTGGTGAAGATGTGAAATTATTAATGAAATACACAAAATGATATACAAAAACCACCTCACACTGTGCCCAAGACATAGCAGGCATTTCACGAATGGTAGCCATTAAAGGTTTCAAATCTTCCTACCCACAATTCTCTGGCAGTAACTCAGGCCTAGGAGCTAGCCTCAAGTATCAGCCTTCACAATATCACACACTTTCCACAGAAGCAACTCAAAGGGCCCACTCTTTCTGAGCAGGATAAAAAAATGGCATGAACAGCAATCTTAGATTGTGACAGAAATGACACAATGTTAAGGGAAGAATGAAGAATAAAGAAAACCAAAGTCCAACTCCACCAAGGAAGCATGACTTGGTTCTATAATTAAGATATCAAAATCACCCATTTCAGAATGTTCTTTAATCCTGGGGAGCCCACAAGACTCACCTTTCTGGAACCTGAAGAAGAAGGGGATGGAACAGAGGCCAAGAGATCTAAATCCTTCTCTAGGGTATTGCCGGTCTTACTATTTGCAATGGAGCAGGACACAGGAGCATCTAGAAAGAGAGACTGAAGTTAAGATGCAGCACTGCTTATTAAGCCCACGCCTTCCTTCTATTCTAGACAAAAAGCAAAGGTAGCCCATAATCTCACGGACCTAGAAATCTAGACTTCTAGAACCATCTAGCATGGATGGGGCTTCTCAAAAGAGGCTTCACCCCACATTCCCAGGGTAATCTGGGAAAGCCTGTAGCCCAGCTATCAGGCACAGGGCAGCAGAAGTCCAGGCCTGAAGGCTATTTCAGCACCACAGTGAGGGGCTGGCTGGCTCCCTTCTGGCTATTTAAAGGGCAAGGTATGAAGGGTTCATTTTCAGAGAGCAAGGAAAGGTACAGAAATTAGAAACCTAAGTAGCCAATAACCTAAGTCAGCAGAAGCAGATGGAAACAAAGTGCAACCACCAGTGCTGTGAAAGGCAGACAATAGGCTTTCTTTCTGAAACGGTAGAATCACTAGTTCAGGATTTCAAAGGTTTAGAGAAAAATGACCACAGGCCATCTCAGAAACAGCCTGCATCTGAAAAATGAAAGGAATGCAGGCAGGGAGTGGAGTACAGGGAAGTGACATGAGGCTCAAAGGTGCTGTTTAGCAAAATTGCTAACATTTATGGAGGGTTCAGTATGTACCAGGCATGGGGCTAAGAGCTTTAGAGGCATTATCTCATTTAATCCTTCCAACAACACCTTTGAAGTAGAGACTCATTCTCACTGCACAGATTAGGAAAGCAACATTAGAGGTTAAGTAAACTACCCAAGGTCACATAGACAGTGAGTAACACAGCGGGACACTGGCTCCAAAGGCCATGCTCTTAACCACTACACCATACTGTTGCTCTGAAAAGTGTCATGGTAAACACTTCCTTAGAGCAACTGTTCAGATATAAAACAGATCAGGAAGAGTGTGAGAGAACAGTCTTAGCAATGAAGACAAAACTGGAGAATCCCATCTCTACCTATCTTCAGGGTCACTGAGAATTCATCAAAATTTGTAAGAACATGGAAGCTGAAAAGTCCAACTCTTACCAAGGCCCAACAAATCCATGACAGGTGCTGTGGATTTCGGGGAGCTTTTCCGAGGTAGCTGTGGGTCTTCTTTTTTCTGTGGCTAAGGTGAAAATATGTTATAGAAAGAAATAAGCAGGTGTTTTTTGAACTCTTTATTCCCATCTCCACTGTAAAGCTACGGTGTTCTTGTGGGTAGGGGTACTGTTATTCAAAAAGAGTTACCAAAGAAATGAAACTCAGGAAGTGTCAGGTGAAAGAATCAAGTCAGGAGGCAGAAGTGCATAAACCAAACCTGAAGCGAAAAACAAAGATATCGCCTGTGATTGTCTGGCGTCCTAAAGAGACAGATCTTTCTGAAACCAAGACAACCACAGAACAGGGGATCCAACAGAAGCAGCAGTTTTTGGTCCCAGGAAAAGCCAAGAATAAAGGTAGGTATCTGATGGTACAAGAGCCAAGAGCCAACAAATCTCCCAGTGGTTAGAAAACCTTTTACTTTAACACCGAAAGGGAGGTCGGTTTAAAGATTACCTAATTCACTCTGCCAATATCACTAGTGACTGTGTCCATAGACAATGTGATTCAGAATGATGATAAAAGACTCTTCCTTAAGCAATAGTAAGTAAAGTCCTCTCTCCCAAGATTCCAAGCTTTTATATTAGAGATTCTACTACTACAGCCACAATGTGTCCTGTGGAAAAAGAAGCGTGTCTGTTTCAACATGACAAAGCAAGAATATAAGGGATCATTTAAAATGGTCTAGTATGGCCTCACTTCTGGACTGTTCTTCATTGAAATCGGAAAATGGGGTACAGAAGGTCTAACAAGAGAAGGACTAATGTGGAAATAGCATCTGCTCAGAAGGTGTCCCACGGCCTTGGCATTCTGGCTTGGAACGTGCCTCTTGCTTAGACGGAACAGATGCACTTCCCGAGTTCCCATCTGACCCCAAAGAGAAGCTCTTTCAGAGCAGATTTAGGCAGCAACTGGTAATGGGAGAGCAGAGGTGATAGCAGGCGATCCAATCCAGATGCAGAATCCTCTAGCCCCAGCTGTGATGGTGCAATGGTACTCACCATGAGGCCTCCTACTCTCCCTTTCACAAATATACACATACCTGAGGCTGTCCATACAGTGCAAATACTTCCCAACTTACCATTTTCACCTTCTCGAAAACAACAGGTTCCAACTTTTTTTCTGGAACTGGTTCGCTCCCTCTTTTCCACTTGTCATCTTTTTCTTTCTATAATGATTTAACAAGACAAAGAACACAGGGCCCAAGGTGACTAATAGTTTGATAAATCATAATTCCAAGTGTCCGAAAAGGACAGCCCAAATCCCTACCGATTCTGATGCAAGCTTGAGGGCCGGGGTCTTGGTGTGGAGCATGAGAGTTGACCTCCTCCACATTAGCCTCAATGCTGTACGATGTGTCTTCCAAACACCTTAGGCACCCGCCCTCCTAACCCACTCATGACTCTTGATATTTGCAGTCGAGGCTATGTACAGATGCTAAAACATTTTACCAGTATGCTACCCATCTGTGCCCCAAATTTAATTTGCCCATGCTTTGAGAGGTCTCCCCTCATCTTGGTATACTAGTGAATAAGTTCATCTTACTCAGCTTATGTCCTTTGTGATATCATAAATTCAATCATAGGTCCTCTCAATAGTCATTTCTTTTTTTAACAGTCAGAAAATAAACCTTAATTTCAAGTTTACAGATTAGAAGAACAAAAATTAAGTTTTAAAGTCAAATAAACATCTAAATGTAAAACAAAACCACAAAGTAATCTTAAGAATACAGAGTACAGCATACATATGAAAAACATGTTTGGTCTTGCCAGTGATAAAAAATGCAATTTAAAATGCACTTTATGCAGAGCGAAAGATCTTTCTATAATGTTGGTAGGGATGAAGTGAAACCAGTACTCTTATACAATGCTGAGGAGAGAGAGTCAAATGGTACAACTTCTGGAAAGTATATTGGCAAAACTAGGAAGAGACAAATGTTGAAATCCTTTGACCCAGATGATATCATATCTTGTAATGTATCTTACGAAAATAGTCCAAAATATGAAAAAGGTTAAATGCACCAAGAAGTTCACCCCAGAATTATCTATGCTAAAAAAACCTTAAATAACAACACTTATGCCACAGAGGGGAAATGGTAAAATAAATTATTACTTTCAGTGATTTAGCTACTCACTGAAAGATGATGCAACAATTAAAAATTATAAATACCATATAAGCGACATAGAAAAATATGTTAAGTGGAATGAAGGTAGGAGAAGTCTATATAACTGTATTATAATTATGCCTCCAAAAAGAAACTATATAGAAAGAAAGAGGAACACACCAAGAAGATAATTATTAGCAAAGATAGTGAGAGTATGCATGGATATTTCACTTTAGTTTTCATTTTCTCTAAAATAATCTTATAATCAATACATGCAGCTTTTTCATATGAAGTATATGTCTTTAATACAGACATTTCATTTAAGTTAAAAATGTTTTATCTGTCCATTATAAAAAGAATAGTTTTTAACAAAGCCAGTTTCTTTTCATTTGATATTAAATGTCTTTACTTAGCAAATATTAATTATTGGCATAAAAATCTTCACAAGAATATGAAAAAAATCTAAGTACATTAAATAACAAATTCTGAAATAGCTTTTTGGTAAATGGGAGGTTATTTCCTTCCTAAGAAAAATATCCAGTAACTGGGCTTGCTTTCATGGGTACAGGACACCAGCATTGTAATCATGAATACCCTGAGGGCAGAGCTGCTGTTTCTACAATAGCTGTGTACAAACAGCAACTCTACTCCTTCACCATCTGAATTATCTCAGATACCCTTGGCTGACCTCATCTGAGTTCATATCTTTAGCCACAATGAACAGAGCTGGGCAGACAGACCACAGTTTTCTACAGATAAAAGGAAATGTGTGTGCTTGGGTTCTAAACTGTTTTTGATGATGCCATCCAAGCTGTAGCTGCACACTGGGTTAATTCTTTCTTGGCACAGATATGATACTGACAAGTCCCTTTTCTGGATGACTGCAAGATAAGAGTCCTTCATACAAAGTTGAGAAGGAATCATTTTTACCTAACTGTATGTATTACCTTACACTTACTTGCCTGTGTTGAAATTCACCTACCAGTTAAATGCCCCTTTCACATAGCTTCATAAGATCAATCTGAAGCAGATTCCAATTAGCTTAACTTTTAATTACCCAGAAGGGCTTAGAGCTCCACGCAAACAGTGATTTCACTGTCTATGATATCATTATTACATAACTAGAATAGATGATAGATAGGTAGGACCTGTGCTAGAAGTGAAGAATCCCTTACTCTCAATAATTCTGTGACTAGAGAAATAGCTAATTATTCCTAAGAGAATTTTCTGTAGAATCTTGTTAAAGGTTATTTAAAGGTCTAAATAGTCATATATATTGGTTCTCCATTAGTTGTCATTAGTTAGGCATATTTTCCTCTTTCAGAAACCATGCTGTCGCTGTCTGTCCCCCGTGTGTTATATTTGTTCTAGTTATCATACGCTGTATTGCAGATTCTCAACATGCCTAGGGTGGAATGTGTTCTTGGAAACTGGTAGTCGGCCTCCCTCTGAAACCCTTCTCAGAAACAAGGGTCACATTGGCAATCAGTCCACCAACACACTGGTTATCCGCAGGTAATGCCGGAAATATACATTGGTCAAACTGAAGGAAACTGGTGATTTAATTACACCTACTTTTGTTGATTTCATTTACAGGAAAAAAGTATATATGTGTGTATATATCTATGTCGATAGACATATGTGTAGTACATATACACTTATATTGTTTTATTTGATCTACTATATGTAACATGTCCATCTCAAGAAATAATTCAAAACTGGGAATCATCAGTAACACCTTCTAACTACAGGTTAAGGCAAAGAATTCACTGATAGGCAGAAGTTTTTTTCATGATATCGCATGGTCTTGACTCAGTAACTGGCATTTTTTACTTTTGCTTAAATATTTATTTTGAGACAGGGTCAAACTCCATTGCCTAGGCGGGAGTGAAGTGGTGCAATCATAGCTCACTGCAGCCTCAACCTCCCTGGCTCACGTGATCCTCCCACCTCAGCCTCCCAAGTAGCTGGTGACTACAGGCGTGTATACCACCATGCCTGGCTAATTTTTAAATTTTTTGTAGAAATGGGGGTCTTGCTTTGTTGCCCAGGCTGTTCTTAAACTCCTAGGCTCAAGTGATCCTCCCAGTTCAGCCTCCCAAAGTGATGGGATTAGGGGATGAGCCACCACACTTGGTCTACTTTTGCATTTTTTAAAAGATGGTTTTGGAGTGTTTTGGTAGCAGTTCTTCAAAGTGTTCTCTGGCCTGATTTAATAAGCAAATTACTTATTATGGACAAAACTTGAAAGATGTATAACCAACCCTAAAGGCATTGATGTCCAGACTTCGGTCCATGTATTTCTTCTTCTCATATTTGTCTCGAATAAATCCTTCGACAGCTCTGCAAAAAGCTTATTAAGGATGAATCAAATAAGCCTCTCAAACAGTAAGAAGATAAAAGGTCAATTGTGTTCCATGGAGCATTGTTCTCCTCCTTCCCTCTTGCCTGGTTTCCCCACATGGCTCCTGCCTGTTCATATGCAATTTCTCTGACCAAAGCCTTAAAATGCTTCCTTCACAGTTACAGCAGGGAATCCTTACTTCCTATGCTTTTCCTTCAGCATAATGATAGCAGCAAGTGGAACTAATCTACAAATTGACATTGGAGGTGGCTATACATCTGTGGCTGTTCTAGAATATAGGTAAAGCAGTCAAATGTCTATTTTAAAGCACTTAGGTCAATAGGCCTCAAACAAAGGCACGTAAGTACCCCTTGAAAACATAAACTCTTGTGCCCCACTGCCAAATTCTGACCAGTGGGTCTTCTGCAAGGCCCCAGATCTGCGTTTAACAGGTTCCACCTGAATCCATTAAAAAAAAAAAAAGAACCTTAACAAGATGATCTATAAACTACATTTTGAGAAGCACCGCCTTTAGGGGATTTGGTTTTGTGTCCTAGGTGCTATCTCTGTTGAACAGATGGTGGAAGAAAGTTATTGGTTATTGATAAACTGGTAAACAACAGTTAATTCTTTCACCCAAGACATAAAAAGATGATAAAAATGAATGGCCATTTTGCTGACTGCCAGGGTTAACAGAGCACAATAAACTACTATTTTTAATTAAACAATAGTTTCAGAGGTCCAAAATAAACTAGTGGAGATGTAACTTTATGGAAGAATACACAGTGAAATCACTGCCGTCTTAATTCCAGAGTGAGTCTTCTTCAAGTGACACCATATGACAATTCTGACATTCGCAAATACATGTGCTTTTTGTGCATCTTGGTTGCAGGACGGAGGGCAAGCAAGGACACTGACTAATCCACATAGAGATGACCCAGTCACATTACAGGACTGGAGTCTTGTTTGACTCTCCCCAAACATCAGAATACCACTCAGCCTTCTAAGTTGCTCCAGAAAAGATACGGGTCTATCTGAGGTCGCCGAAAGGTCTCAGGAAGATAGGCTTCATAAAGTCGGTTTGCCTTTCCATTTCCCATCTCTTGCATGCACTGTGACCAAAGAGAATGTAGAAACATGGCATGTCAGATCAAGAAAGAACTGAAAAACTTCTCACCCAATTCCACTACTGTACAATTGAAGAACCAACCTAGAGAGTGTCAGAACCAAGATTCTGATTTCCAATTCATGATTCTCTCTACCTTACTAGGAATTCCCAATCATTTGCCCCAAGCTGTCTTTCCCCCTACTCCATAGGTTCCTTTTACTGAAATACCTATGTACCAAGATACATTTAATTCAGTAATAAATCAAGATCTCATTTGACAGTCTTAGATACACAGCTACCAATTAAAATGTCTACTTGGCAGGCAATGATCAGTGTTAGCATTCTGAGTTTATACTATTAATCAATTCCAATAAATGTGTTTCCCATTAGGCTTTTAAGTAGACTCCTTAACACTTGTGAGGGATAAATCCCAAGAGCTTTTTAAGTCTCCAAATCCCCAAATATCTTCATGGCATACAATTTCCTTCATAAGACAGAGTAAAGTGTAACTGAAAAATCTAACTCACCTTTTTAGACCTTTAATACAACTATAAATACAGTCTAAAGCAATTTCTAAAGCCATTTTCTCGTTAAGAGTAACCTCTTTTTCCATTACCAACTTTAGCAACTGGATTTGGGGGGCGGGGGGGCTTCCCTTTTACTCCCAAGAAAGAAAAAATTAAAATTAAAGCTTTTCAATGTAGGAAGAGAATAAAAAATAATGAAGCTATATCAAGGTACAGCTCTTAGGTCAGCCAGACTCATTAACTTAGGAGTCTCACTCCAAGCCCACCAAGCTAACAGCATGCAAGATTCACGTATGCATTCCAGCTGTTACAGCTTTTTTAAGATGATAACAATAAATATAATATATACATTGTCTTATTTAATATATTTTTAAGGTTAATTATGTTTAAATTAATTTAAAATTTTTGAAATTTTAAATGTTATCATCTAATTCCATGTTTGTATGTGTCTAAAGATATATTAACAATCACAGAAAAGATGAGTTCACAAAAATGGTATCTTTTTAATATTATGTACCATTAAAATATTTTCCATGTCTAAAACAAAGATTCATGTATGCATTTTAGCAATAAAATATTTCCATAAGTCTATGATTTGAAGGTTTTTTTTAAAAGTGATTTTTTTTTTTTTTGAGACAGGGTCTCACTCTGTTTCTAAGCCTAGAGTGCAATGGCATGATCATGGCTAACTGCAGCCTCCACTTCTGCAGAGGCTCAAGTAATCCTCCCACCTCAGCTTCCCAAACTGCTGGGATTACAGGTACATACCACCAGGCCCAGCTAACTTTTTAATTCTGTATTTTGCAGAGACAGGTGTCTCACTCTGTTGCCCAGGCTGGTCTTGAACTCCTGGAGTCAGGCGATCCACCCACCTCGGTCTTACAAAGTGCTGGGATTGAGCCACCATGCCCGACCAAAAGTGAATATTCAAAACTATAAATTTTAGACCTGCAAGTGCTAAGAGTCTTAGAAAATCACCCAAAGATCCCTCTTAATACTTTTGTGGACCCATGGAGTCCTAGATCATAGACTATTTCTGTTTTTAAGGAGGTAAAATATAGGTAGAATAACTTGTATCTTAAATAGAAAGAATAAAAATTTCTGTTAAGGTACAAGAATTTGACATAAGTGTTTAACAACTAAATTTTCCTTTATCTTTGCCTTTGTGCCTGGTTTGACTGAAATTCATCTGGAATTCCTTTTACATGGATATATGGGAGCAGCTGACTCACTCTTGGGCTAAGTACCTGAATCTGTTCTTGAGTCCACTGGTCGAGGTTAACTGACTTTACCCTGGATATGTGCACCCCCAGATTCCTGTGGATTCCAGCACATCGAATGCAGATGAACACACCAATGTTCCAAGAGGCCCATCGCGGCCCTGTGAAAGTCAGGAACAGGGCAATAAAGTACAAATTACAGCATTCAAGGCCTAAACTGCAATATTAGATTATCAGACATTTCTGCTAGAACGTAAGTGAAATAATTTTTACCATAACCATCTGTTTATTGACTCTACTCATTCCTCCACGTGTCAGCTTTTCTTTAGTTTAAAATTTTTAAGTGTACAATACAGTGGTTTTTAGTATATTCACATAGTTGTGCAATGATTACTATTATCTAATTCCAGAACATTTTCATTACTCCAAAAGAAATCCCAACCCATTAGCAGGCACTACCCATTTTCTCCCAACTCTTCCCTCCCAGCCCCTGGCAACTATGAATCTACTTTTTATCTCTATGGATTGCCAATTCTGGACATTTAATACAAACAGAATTATATAATATGTGGGCATTTGTGCATGGTACAATTTTTTTTACAGTGTCTGCTAATATGAGTGTTGAAACGCAGATGTTACAAGACTGTTACTTATATTAAGAAAAATCCCAGGAGTGCAAAGCCATATCATATTCTATTTGGCTGAGCACCTTATATAAACAGTCCTCTCCCAAGAGACGTTTTAGTGGTGATGGGCCTGTATTCACCACTTTTTAGTGGTGGCCTATATTCGGTTTTCCTACCAGGAAGAAAGATAGATAAGGCATGATTGTCCACGGCTCAACCTGTAATTGAAACTGTGTTTATCCTCCCCCCAACCCCAGGCCTATAAAATATGCATTCGCATTAACTTAATAGGATCCTTTCCCCTTAGGTTGATGTTCCTACTTTACTCAACTACTGAAGTATCTCATTTCTAGATTGCCAAATAATAAAGATGCTTATAGCAACAAAAAAGAAATCTCAAATATGAATTTTAATTCAAAACTGTTACAGAAGCTCCCATCCCCTGCCAGCTTTACTCATCCTAATAATCACTCTGAAAAATTATCACACTCCTCTTCATAATTTTCACCCAGGAAAAAAAAATGACTCATATGAAACCTGCCAAAAACTTACTGAAAACTCAGAAATATTTCCTTCTCCATTATCCCACTTGGCAGAAATTTACCACATAAAATAAGCGTGACATAAAAATTAGAGGATGCAATAAAGAGGTGAAAGGACACCGATTTTCTATAGAGATAAACAGGACCTACGCTTGGAACGACAAGGAGCACAAGACTTCAGTTCTTTAGGACACAGACAATTATTTGGTTAGCCAACAGGTTTTTCAATTTTTATTTTTAGAGGCAGTCTCGCTGTCACCCAGACAGGGAGTGCTGTGGCACCATCATAGCTCACTGCAGCCTCGTCTTCCTGGGCTCAGGCAATCCTCCTGCCTCAGCCTCTGGAGTAGCTGAGACTATAGGCGTGTGCCATTCTGCCTGGCTAATATGTTTATTTACTGCAGAGACAAGCTCTCACTATGTTGCCCAGGCTGGTCTTGAACTCCTGGCCTCAAACACTTCTCCCACTTCAGCCTCCCAAAGTGCTGGGATTACAGGTGTGAGCCACTGCGCCTGGCCAGCCTGAAGGTTTTGACAGCAGTTTTAATGAAGAAATGCTAGAATCATGTGGCAGAAAATTAGTTTTAGAAATTTGAATACATGATTATTACAAATAAGAATGTAATTTTTTGACAAAGATATCACTTATTTACTATGGCAAATACTGCAACAGAAAGCTCACATTCTCCTTATTACCACCAGGTGGTGCTCTCTGCCTGAAATTTTATCCCAATGCCTTATCGTTATCACAAGCTCAGATTTATCTTCTAAAACGATATTTAGTCCCTTCACATTCCTAGATGGATTTACATAGTTGGTCCACCATGTATCTTATAAACACAAAAACGATCTGCACACTTGTTTCAGGTGGGAGAGTGTCACGTCAAACACAAAATGAAAACCCTAAACTGACGTAAATGGGGTTTCTTAGCATGCTGTCTATCCATTTTAGGTTACAGTTTTCATAAAGGAACTTCAATAAGATCTAAGTTATATAAGATTTAAAATGGCACCAAGTTAATATTTCATGTTTCTTAAAGCATTTTTTCTTTGCTCTAGATTCCAGAGTCTAGAACTCATAAGACAGTTAAGATGTATTTGTTTACTAACAAAGTCAGAAGCCAAACGCATGCATTAAAAATTGAAAGTCAGCTGTGAAACGTTACACTGTGTGCTTCCTGGCCTTAAGATGGGAAAAGGCAATTCCCAATCATCTAAGCCACTGTCACAGCTCCCACTCCAGAGTACTTAAAGTCATTTTGCTTCTGAGGAATGCAAGGCTAAGACTTCGAGCCTTGGGGTGACTCTGAAGCCACTGACAAGGCCTCAGTACAGAAATACAGGCAACTGTATTTTCATGAAAAGCCAGAGAAGGGCCTCTTCTCCCCCGCAGATCCCCACCTGACATCCCTTCTGAAACCTTTTCCCAGTGAATATAGGGATGGTTATATCCCAGATACTCAGTCTCTTTTAGTTTTGAGACACTAGATTTATTAGTGAATAACTACATGTTCCACAAAAGATTCTGAAACTAGAGAAAAGAAAAATAAAAGAGACAAATGTTACTTATATGGCTGAAAACATGGGGAAATGGTGTAGTTACTTTTATTTCATTTTATTTTTTACAGACAGGGTCTCTCACTCTGTTGCCCAGGCTGGAGTGCAGAGGCAAGATCATGGCTCACTGTAACCTCAAACTCCTGGCCTCATGAGATTCTTCCACCTCAGCCTCCCATGTAGCTGGGACTACAGGCATGCACCACCATGCCTGGCTGATTTTCAAATTTTTTTAAAGACAAGGTCTCCCTATGTTGCTTAGGCTGGTTGTGAACTCCTGGCCTCAAGGAATCCTCTCACCTCAGCCTCCCAAAGCACTGGGATTATAGGTGTCAGCAACCATGCTCTGCCAGTTGTAGTTATTAAAAGTATAATCTTTGCTGCCAGTAAGGACTTAGGTTTGAGCGCAGTTCCTTCAATGATTACCTGTGTGACCTTCTGAGAGACGGAGCTTTAGTTTCCTCATCTATAAAATGGGTACCATAGCATTCACCTCACAGTGCCTAAAACACAGAGGGACAATAACTGAGGACTATATATAAGGACGTGGTATCGAATGAGGTTTCCAGAACCCACTTCCCATTCATCTTCCTGATATGGGCCAGTTAACTCATTCATATATGTAATATATACCTACACTCTGTGCAACACCACGGAGTGCTTCTTTTTATTTTAATTTTATTTTTTTGAGACAGAGTCTCACTCTGTCACCCAGGCTGGAGTGCAGTGGTGTGATTTTGGCTCACTGCAACCTCTGCCTCCTGGGTTCAAGCAATTCTGTTCCCTCAGCTTCCTGAGTAGCTGGGACTATAGGCACATGCCACCACATCCAGCTAACTTTCACATTTTAATAGAGACAGGGTTTTGCCACATTGGCCAGGCTGGTCTCGAACTCCAGACCTCTGGTGATCCACTCGCCTTGGCCTCCCAAAGGGCTGGGATTACAGGTGTGAATCACCACGCTCAGCCAGAGTGCTTCTTTTTGGAAAGGAATATGAGTTCTGGTCCTAAAATACCAGAACCAAAATGAACTGAATATTAGACAGAAGAAATTTACCCTAGACCCAATTTCAAAGTCTTCTAGAAAACATGAAATTTTAAGCAGCTTCCTTTATTGATCTTAAAATATTTCTTGAAAATGCACTTTTTAAACCCTCACCTGTTCCCTTTCTCTGCTACACACCCCCACCCTGCCCTTGTGCTTGCATATGCCCCCACTACACAGGCAAAGAAAGAAGGCCCAAGGCTGTCAGCCTAAGTGGTGGGTACTTAGATTCCACAGTACCTGGTATTGCTGCTGCAAGGCCAGCCTACTTTAATCTGGTAAACTTGCAAAAATGCAAGTGAAACCAATTGTTTTAACATAATGATCTCCAATTCCATCTGTGTTGCTGCAAATGTCAGTGAGTTTAAAAAAGGTGGATCTCATGGAGAGAGAGTAAATTGGTGTTCTAGAAGCCAGAAAGGGTAGGGGGATGGAGGATGAAGTGAGTTTGACTAATGGGTACAAAAATATAGTTAGCTAGCCTGGCCAACATGGTGAAACCCCATCTCTACTAATAATACAAAAAATTAGCCAGGCATGGTGGCACGTCTGTAATCCCAGCTACTGGGGAGGCTGAGGCAGGAGAATTGCTTGAATCCAGGAGTCAGAGGTTGTGACGAGCCAAGATCACACCACTGCACTCCAGCCTGGGTGACAGAGCAAGACCCTGTCTCAAAAAACCCCAAAAATACAAAAATACAGTTAGAAGAAATAAGACCTAGTGTTCAATAAATCAGTTGAGTGACTATAGCAAACAATAATCTACCATATATCTCAAAATAGGTAGAAGAGAATAATTCAAATGTTCCCAGCATAAAGATAAATGTTTAAGGTGATGGATATACCATTATCATGATTTGGTTATTACACATTATGTGAATGTATCAAAATAATCATGAAAATATGTATATCTATTATGTATCAATAAAGAGAGATAAACCAATTGTTCAATACATATTGGTCATGGTAATCAAGGAAAAAATATAAAAGATACCATTTTGAAATTTAAAATGAAAAGAGATGCTGAGAGGCAATATGCCAAACAATTTTGAAAGCAAAGAGGATAGGCAAGTGATGTAAACTGGTAGTGACTGACACAACACAAGAACAAGGTCACAGATAAGTGAACATATTCAACAGGAGCCTAAGAGCAGGCTTGGGCAGCATTAAGCAATACTAAAACTAACATAGAATCACTCTGTAATAAGCGATCAGGGAAAATGAAAAAAGTAGATGGAAATGGATTTGGTTGATCAGTCTAGAAATCAACTGTCCTAAGTACCAGCTCATAATGGGAAAAACCTGGGTTTACATGGACCTGTTGCATGTATTTTGACAAGTTTATTTAGGGCTTATGTCTCCATTTGTAAAATGGAAAGCATACAGGTAAT